ATCAAATTAGTCCAACATAAACCCGTAAGATGATAAATCAAACACAACGAATATATGAAATTCATCTATCTGAACTGCGCTTATAGAAACGTATTTGTGCACGATCCGGTCATTGCTGGTTCGAATCCCGTACAGGTCTGAATTTTTTCAGGTCGGATTTTCACTATTGCTTAAATAGTGCTATTTACTGCGAGGATCGTGCACAAATACGTTTCCGATAACCACAGTTCAGATATATTAATTTCATATATTCGTTGTATTTAAACATTTTTCTTTCGAATGTTCCTTTCGCTGGTTGGGCATTACTCACTCATTTTTAACCTATTATTGACTTTTCTTTCCTTGCATTTTGCAAGATGAAATAAGGCGAAACCGTCTACGTCTTTGACAGCGATGCCATGTGTTCTCGTCTTTTCCACCTCTAGGTACCCAGTATCACTATCGGAAAGGAAAAGAGTGTTTGCTTCTGCGTTTTGCAACGGTTACCTCTACTTGAAGTTACCACTGAAATTTTTCGATGGAACCCCACAAACGTGATGGACAATGCACACTGCACACTCTGCCCGGGGCAGAGTGTACAGTGTGCATTGTCCATCACGTTTGTAAGTCCGTGAGTCAGGTGTTCCCTTTAGTCTTTCTTTATACATCCAATATCACTATCGCTGAGAGGGTCCTCTATAGCGATTTATTTGCATTTAAACGTGACCCGTGAATTAAGAGCTGAATTAAACGTGATTTGGGAGCTTTTTTGGTTTGTATGATGGAAGTGTGCGTATTATTGTCGAAAGGCTGTGATTAGGTTTTGAACAGGGTTTTGACAGGAGATGGACTTCATATGGATCGCGATAAAAGTTGTAAAACAGACCAGTAATGGTTTTTAAACGAACAAGATAAGACATCAAAAAGGAGTGGTCGAGACTAGAAAAAATAAAATATAAATTCAACGTGATTTTCTAGAATTTGCGTGACCGTGAAAGACTTTTTAGATGTAACTCGCGATACGTGAGATACCAAAGATTTTTACATGACTGAGTTTTATAAAGGGGTATAAGGGACTCTCCATTTAAAGAAAGATTGCTTTGTTTCCGTTTCATCTTAGGAGAGAAAACACCTTCCTCCTTATTTTACGCCTGACTTGATCACGTGCACCCGGAAGTTCGATTTGTTGCTTTTTTTCTATTTATTTATTTTTATTCATTTAATGTCTTCTTCTAAAGCTATTCTTATAATACAGGGGATTTTTTTACATATATGTGTGTGTGTACTTATTAAGCTTCCTATACACAAAGTTTTTTATATGTTCTTATTAAATTACTTAGAAAATGGTATTCCATAATTGACCAGAAATGAAAAACTATTTATCACCACTAATTAATTTAATTGTATGCATTATGTTACGTATCTTTAGGAATTAAATTACTTTCAAGGTAGTTCCATATAGTTAACTAAAAGTTAAAGAATTACTTATCGCCACTTTAAGACAATTCTTCGTTGGATTTCCATTTATTACGGAGATAATACTATTAGATTTGACTGCAATGTATTTCTCAGTTTCGTCTTTGTTTTCAAGAATTCTCTTAAAACTGACTAATCGACGGTTTAATATCTTTATGCCTACGACTCCATAATTAACTTTTACCTAGAATTAGTACATAAATTGACAAGATCCATCCCCTCCTTGAAGATTCCTATGACAACGTCACTTATAGTAAGAGACAACTGCAACTACTAATATTATTCAAAATGTCGGCAATAACATCCACCCAAAAAGAGCACAAAAAGTGGCAATTAAACATACATGGTTTCTAGCTATAACTATAGTTTTCTTTGGTATCTTGACAAAAGCAACAGTTAGGGCTTGGAAAATAGCCTATTTTAAAAAGGATTTCATAGGCAAAAAGAATGGAGTTCAGTCATCTTAAGTGGGGCTCGTTGGAAACTCTTTTGGGCAACAAAAAGACTTCTAAAATACAGTTATCTTCCCGATCAAATTCTTCTGCTATCCTGGCCCATTTCTTTGGCTTTTCATACTTAAACTTTATCCGAAAGCTATAATAGTCACGGCCTTGAAAGTTCTCCGGATAAGGAATGGCGGTAAAAGAAGGTGAATGTGTACGTAGTCAATGGCACTGCATGTCTCAATCTTGTCCAGATCAATATTAAAATTTCGATTTTTTGATATCTGGATTACGTTTTAGCCGGAGGGGACCGAACAGATTATAAAGCAACAATATGAATATTCCGAGCGGACTCAACACAAGATTTTCAAGTCGCGTTTTCGTCAGCCTTTAAAGACTAATCATCTGTCAGAATCTTCGGTAAGTATGGGATCGGTGGTTAGATTGCTGGCAAAAAAAATATTTAGAATTTAAAATAGCAACGTAACACAACAGGGTTTATAAACACGCTTGAATGATCGCGGGCGCAGGACGACAAAAGCTTCTTATTCACCCCTTATTTTCTAAATCTCAAATCTGCCAATTTGCGACCGGGCAATTTTAAGCGATTTACTGGAAACTTGACAGTGGGCTAAGCCGTAAACTACGTTTTCTCTATGTAACAAGGGTCCCTTAGTGCTACTTGAATCAGCAATGACTGAAGCGTTGCGAGTAACAGAAAAATGATAGAGTTTGAGCTCGCTCATCGAACATTGGTCAATTTAATCACTATCGTCAGAAAAACAAACAGTCCAAGATTCTTCTCTATCCAGTGTAACATTTATAAATGTTTTTGTGCCATAACTGAACTAACTTGTAATTGTAATGTGTGGTGGAATGCGGAAAGAGTCGTCTATAAAAACATCGGATGTTATCGAAAATCTAGCAAAACAGTTCTCGCGTGGCTGAAAATCCCTGGCAAACGGTAAGAGTATCAAAGCAACAGTTTTGTCCAAAATTTTTGGCGTTTTGAACATCTGTCCTTTCTTAGACGTTTAATCAGAAACAGGTATATCGGCCTCCACAATGAGGGCTTGTCTTTGAATACATCAAGTACCGTTCCTGTTTGTCCGCAGTTCATTTCAGTTCTATGGACGTAATTTTCGTTAACTAAGAAACGGGTTTGCTTATACTCCAAATACACCATTATTGCGAGATAAACAGGAAGTAGGAGCTAGTACTTGCGTAGTGGGTTAAGATCCTTCACATAAAAACCAAAACATTGTAGCCAGCTACAGGCCTTTAGTTTGGACCTTGTCATAGGTGATTAAGTTTCCATCTGGAAGAGGGCACTAATTGCCACATTTACTTGCAATATCTGGTTTGAAATTCTAGTGCTGATCTATTTCGCAGGAGATTGTTTCAAGGAATTGAGTGTTATATCAAACCAGTATCTTAAAAGTTCACAACAAATATTAACTTTTTACTGGATGCAGGAACTTGAGGGTAGCATAAATGTATGAAATCTATTGTCTTAAACTTTGATATGTTTCTATTAATCTTTCTTTCAAAACGAAATTTTTACACTCTGATCCGAGTGCGAGAGGTTTTAATACCGGCTAAGGTTTAATAACCGTGAAGGGTCAATCTTTGATTTTCGTTCTTGAAAACTTGAAGTATTCGAATTTTTTTACATTCGAAGAACGAGCTTAAAATTTACCGCTATCTTGTTCGTACTCCTTTCCCAAAGTTTTCAACCACTATCAAGTTTCCACATTTTTAAAGAGCAAGAAATTGATTGCATTGAAGCATATTTAATCCTAGAGTCCGAGAAATTTTACCTTTCTGTGTGGATTGACTGATTAATTAGAAAGCTGTTTTAAACGGGAAGTTTCTGAGAGACTAAAGAAGAGAGTAAGGATCGCATCTCAGCAGCAGTTTAACTTTTCCGAAAGGATCTCAGAGAAAATCCTTATTCATGTACTCATTCCCGTTAAGTTATAAATGAATGAGAGAAGAAAATAGATACCATTCATACTATGAAAAAAAATATATCTGTTTCACACCAGGTGCCTTTGTTTAATCGAAGCACACAATGTTGGTGAAAGAAGAAAGCTAAAAAGATTCCATACATTCCTCTAAGTGGCAGAAGAAATCCTTATCTTTTATTCACCCAGTTATTGAATCAAGCATAGAGACTACGATTCAAGGTTCTCTTCCAAAACACTTGACATCAACTATGAAATGATATCTGACCCGCCAATTAATGACCTCCTTTATGCTCTGCACAAGCCATTGGCTAGTGAGAGGAAAGCATACGTGCACGTAATTGCCCACAGCACTGCACTGATGAGGCCTAGAAGGCCGAAACAGTACTGTCTGCAGTTAGTTATATATATGTATATATATACAGTTCAAAATGGCTAAAGTGAAACACGCATAATTCCCTGGGAATCATGGGGAATCATGCGTGTTTCATTTTAGTCATTTTGAACTGTATTTCGCTCTACACTCATATGTATTGTCTACTTTCCAACAGCATTTGCTGCAATTTCCCACAATTATATATATACAGTTCAGTTCTTATGCGGATAGAGCAAAAAGTGTCGATGATAGGTTTAAAACTTTACGCAAAACTCCAGGCCCTTTGTATGAGTGTTTTTAGTGAATGCAGTCCTTTGGGAGACTGGATTATTGGGATGATATGCTTGGCCTTGTAACCCTTCCTGAAATTACCAGTCGATGAATGGACTTTGGAACTCTTGTGATTTCAAGTCATTGGTAAACAAGGTCTGCTTTGAAATATAAAACACTTCTTGTTATGTAACTGTTCTCAGTTTACAGAACTTTAAATTGTAGCGAGAGAAAATTTTATGTCAAATTTAGCAAAACGATAGATAATACTAGACAATTCAAGACACCTCTTCCTTTGGAGTTTAGCCATGCGTGGCCCGTTGGCAAACAAACGAAGCACTCAAAGTCCACGTGAACTTCTGAGTTGATCCATAGGTCGAGACACTTGATAGCTCAAGATTAATAACCATAGCATTTCAACTCTGATTGACAGACTTTCACCATGTCTCTGTTGCTTCCTGAGTGTTAATGATATTTACTTACAAAACTTATCAGAGAAATGCAATCACGCCATCACGCCAACTTAAAACGGTTCACACGAGAAGAAATCTAGATTTCTGCGTTACCCTTGCTGTTAACGTTTAGACTATCATCAACTTTTTTCAATTATCTTCTTGGATTTACTAAGGTAAGTGAAACCTTCTAGAAAAATGGCTCCTAGACTAATTGTTCTATTCATCTAGAATAAATTTAACTTCATCCGGCTATTATCATAGCGGTGCCAGTGGTAAGAATACTGACTGTTTTCCAGTAGTTCATCTGCTATCTCAAAATCACATCAGTTTAGCACAAAACTTTGTCCTGTTGGTAGTTATTGGTCCGTATAAGATACATACACTAGGTGAGTAAATTAAGCAGATCATTGTCGTAATGGATAAAAATTATTCACTACTCTCTGCTGACAAAGCCTCATAAAAAGGATTCATAACATGTTTCTTAATTACAAGCCTGTTTATTATGAGGTTTTTTTGTGTTCTTTCCATAATTAAATTGTGTAAATTAACGAGTAAGTGAACTCGCCGGCCGGTAAGGCAGAATCAGGCAGACCACAAAGAACAAAAGGCCAATAGAGGAATTTGTTTGCTATGCAGAAATTACTTGAACCACTTAACTTGATGGGCTGTCAGCAATGAGCACGAGAGCACGGAAACAAATTTTCGTTAATTGAATGACTTCCAAATTCATGATACGAAAATTTCCAGTTAGGATCATTATGATAAAGAAAAACATAAACATAAGGAAAGGCATCGAGTCGTCTTGGTTCATTTAATTGGATTAATAACTTGAGGTGAACTTTTGTAGACTTTCTGTGAACCGGAACCTAGATTTATGCTGCTCAAATGACAATGTCATCTATTTACTGAGTGGAAGCTATTTTACAACATTCCTGAATGTTCTTACCGGCCGTTCATTTTGTTTAGGTTTAAAGTATTACATAACAAACTGTAGTTCAAATTGTTTGGTTATAGGTGATGTGCCTAGCCGAGAAAGGATTACGGAAACGTTTCCAGCCCTGCTCATAATGAAAGAGATATCGATGAAGAAGTCGGACAAAAGCCTCCTGCCATTAAGAGGCAAAATATCTCCTCCAACGATTTTAAACTGCGACAACCATACCGATCAACGATACCTCGATAAGGAAACCGCTAATGATATGGCTAAAAGAGAGAGGTTATTTTCCGTATCTTCGAGGAGTGCCTGCAGTTCGAAACACGATTCTAGTTTGTCTGAAGTAAGATCCATGACTCCGCCATTTACACCACCGACGAACAATACAAATGAAGATCAAGGGTTCCTAGTAAGGCGACCTTCGGAACATTTTCTTGAAGTGCTAGGAGAACATAAATCGAGAGAATCACTACCTAAGGTTCTGTCAGCATCGTGCCTTCCTCCATTGCGAAACGCGTCTCAAGGAGAAGACGCTATTAAGAGGAATCTTAAAGATCTGAAGGGAACTAATGGTGTAATGAACGATCATTACGATGGAACCTTTACCCGCCCAGTTGCACCTGATAACAACACATTGCTTCTGGCGCCCAGCAGTAGGAGAAGAATGTCAACACCAATAAGCGTTGAGAAAAAACGTCTTCGAAAAACGAATTCTTTGCCTTTAATCAAGACTGGCTTTGCGCTTACAACGGAAACAGACTCCATAAATAATTCCGCCTTCCACAACCACACAACGTCCGCATTAACAAACCAGGAAAAGAAAATAGAAGAATACGCCGACCGCATTAAAAATGTAACGATCGATGAATATTTAGACGAAGAATTGTGTGACGGAGACGAAGTGATCGCTCAGGAAGATGAGGAGACACTCGAAAAGTATTCAATGATTTGTCATTGGCTGAAAGACTGCGAAAAAGCTAAAATCACCTAGCAGCAAGATTCAAACAGACATTCTGGAAATGTCTCTGTAAATATCTGCTTCAGTGGTCCTTGCAGGCATGTTGTGTAAGTTATCAGCTCTCTGTTTGACCTAATTAATAATTTATCACACCAGCTGTTGTTCCTGGGACGAAAAGCTTTTAACCGGTACTTTGTGCCTTTTGATACATACTGTTGATAACAAGTCTGTTGGTCGGCATTTGGAGGAATGCTGAGCATAGGAGCCTCAAATTGTTTGGTTTAGTTGAACCTCATTATATAATCGGCGACAATACTATTTGGATTGTTCGTTTGAATAAAAATTTTAAGAAAATTTGGTTAATTAAAAAAGACAAGAAAAGGAAAACGAAGCACTCAGGCGCTTCAGCGATACAGGAAGAGACACTGATAGCTCTCTCTGAACTATTTTTAAGAAGGAAATCAATCTTCACCACTATCGAATCACTTCTTATCGTTTCAGTATCATAGGTTTTCGAGCATTCTCTACTAAACCAAACAGTTTCGCTTTGATTAACGCTATTGTAACGCAACCAAGGAGAAAAACGAAAACAGTTGCAGCATATAGTTTCTATTTGTCTTTTGGAAATCATCCGCCTGACGCGTGATTCTTTACTGACCCGTAATGTCCTTTGCATTCCTCCAAATCCGGAGCAGATTTGAAAAATCAACACGTCATTCCCGTCTGGCGCGGGGTTTTTTAGCTCACTGACCGTAAGTGAGAAAAGAGAGTGTACATAGCGGACTAATGAAGAGCTAAATTGATACAATTAACTGCCAAATTCTAAAATCCCTCAGAAGTTCTCTATCAAAACACCATATGTTTGTCATTCTCAACGTCATTTTAATTTATACATTGCTTGATTGTACCAAAATTAGACTCTGAGAGTTAGACCTCCTTGAAAGTTTCATTCCCGCTCAGGAAAGCGGCTTCTATTTGTTTAAGGGTTTAGTTTCCTTGAAATTTAATTTATTTGGTCTGAGTATCTGGGTGGTATTTACTTTGCGTTTTGTGAAGATGATACTCAAAATCCTTGTTATGACACAAGAAGAGTCAAGAGGGTTATCGATCTGAGAATTTGTATGAAAAAGCGAAGTATGATTTAAATAGTTTATCTCATAATGATTTGAAGTTGTTTGGGGTACGGGAAAAAACTAGTAAGAATAAAATTATAAAAAGTCAATGAGTGTTTTCTAGCGTTGTCAAGCCATGTTTGGTTCCCATTCCACTTTGAGTGGACTTTAAACTGAACTCAGTGTGGACTTGCGGTCTGTCAAGAGCATGGCAGGGAGTTCGAGCATATGCAACCCCCTATAAAGAAAATGTTTATAGTCTGTTGTAATCCCCTGTAAACAAAATGTATAGTCTGTTAGTGTATCGATCCTTGTTTAACCTTTCTGTTTGAGCTGGAACGCTGAAATGCAAGGTCAGAGCTGTAGACAGTCCAATCTTAAGAACTCGAAAAAGCTAGAGCAAGAGAGCGAAGAATCTCAATAGCTTAATAGTGCTGTTGAAGTGAAAGATATTGGAACTTTTGGCATGTGAGAGGACCAGGGAAGAAATGTTGAGTGCTGCTCGAGGAATCAAATGTCAGACCTTAAGTCTCATGTAAGAACGTGGAACTTTTGGCATGTGAGAGGACCAGGGAAGAAATACTGTGTGCTGCTCGAGGAATCAAATCTCAGACCTTAAGATTTTCATGATAAGAACGTCTACCATTGGGCTGAAGAGAACTTCCTCAATTCTTTACATAAGTTTCATGTTTGACCACTTGTTGCTAAGATAGGAAAAGTCGAAAGATAGGTAAAGTGGGCTACAGTTGAGGTCGAAATTGATGTATCTCTCTTGATTTTGATTTATTAGATGTTGTGGGTGCTGGTTCGATCGTGAAGCATGGCACGCTTAACTTCAAAATAGCTCCAAGACCATCTTTCTATAACAGGATGGTCTCTGAGGTTGAAACTCGTGCTTTTAAAAGCTTGAGGGGATAGATAGAAAGAACTGAGGCGATTTTTTTTGCAATAATAGAAAAAATATTTCCATCAAAAGGTTATTTAAACAGTCTGTTATAATCCATCGTTTGTTAAAGACACAATGTTTGAATTACTATGAAAGTCGATTAAGCGTTTTAGTCGCCAGCCTCAACAATTTGCCTGATCTTGACGTCACCTCAAGCTCTCGGGTATAGTGAAAGAAAAATTTAACTACGTATATTAATCATGAATGCGTCCACTTCAAGATCTCGTAAGTGGAATGATCTCATTTAGAAATGTAAAATGTTGCATTACGAGTGCAGTCTCCGTCGATGCTTTGCTTCGGTTGTGTTGCTCGACAAGGCCAGAAAACGGTCTAACGGTGCGGTTCAGCATGGCTTCAGTTAAATTTCTTTAAGTGTGTTAAGTGTGTGTTCTTTAAGTGTGTGTTCTTTAAGTATATTTCTTTAAGTGTGCTAGATTGGATCCAAAACTTATTCCCAGTGTCCTGTGCAACAGATAAAAGCTTGACTCAGCATTGGAACGTAGACTGATAGATTAAAGCAGCGTGGTCATGAAAACCCGCCTTTACTTTTAAAAATTAAATCAGTATACTGAAATATAATGCTTCCTGAGTGGATTGAGTCAGTTTGATAAGATTATTTAAAAACGTAAATCAGTTGCTCAAGAGACTTTTGATTTATGATTCTTATGCTTTATTCGCTTAAATTCAATAGGCAAATACAGGAATGCATACGCAATTCCTGTGTTCGGATTATCCGAGTTATTGTAGGCTATCTTTCCATAATTTTAAATGCAGCGTGATCAAGGACTTTTCAGTGAAAACGAAAACCCTCAACTTGACTGGGATCAGTTATCACTCCTAATTTTAATGTTGAATGTTGGAAAACTAATAAAATATCCTGTACCTGACCAAAATAGACTATTTGCACTCTAAATACACTTGTTTATGACTGAAGGCTGTACGTGGTGCAGAATTTCAAGCTACTGAAGTATTTGTATCCTGGATTAGGTGGTTTCGAGGTGGGTGACCCTCAGATCTAGAGGTGAAGCTGAAACAACAATGAACTACCAGCTGTACCAGACGTGACAACAGATCTACAAAGTGCGTGTGATAGTAGAGGGGACAATGGCTGCCCTTACCTCATAAATACTGAAAAAGGGACTTATTCATAGAGTAGATAGAGACACTATTCCTGAACAACGGTCTTCTATAATCATAGTTAGTAGAGAGTCCCCTCCACTAACTATGTTCTAATGCTGTAATTGTTTGTTAAGTTCAGGTTTGATCTTATTTATATAAAAAGCTTCTTTGAGTTTTAAATCAATTGAGTTGTTAGCAGAATCCAGAATACTAAAGCAAGAAAGGGATTATTTGTTCTTACAAATACTAACAGTTTATTTTATTTTGGTTCCACGAACACTTTAACACGCAATAACAAAAAAACCTTTTTCAAACTTTCATGCTGGGGTATCCATGACCTTAACCATAATTTTTAACTCATTTAACAAGGTGAACCACGAAAAAAATTCAAAAGGATATTTCCACACCACCACTATAGTGATAACTATTTAAGACTGATATGTCAATACTCAACGAATACGATTTTTGCTTTTATTAGTCTTTAAAGGAAATGCAACTGAAAATGACCGCACAACAATTTTTCAAGCTTAAAGAAATAACAACATTAAACCAGAAGTAGAAGATGATAAATGATTATTAACATTTAAACCTAAGCTAATTAAGCGGATTACGGGGTTGCTGGGTACGTGTGAGCTAAAAGAAACGCACACTAAAGAACGCAAAGCATCAAGTTACGATTGCCAAGAGAGGACATAGTTTATCCATCTTAGTTGCAAAGAAAAGAAAAGAATAATACGTATTACAGTCAGAATACCCTATTTTGCTGCATGCTTGCACTTGAAAATGGTAAAATAAGGCTTAATATAAGACTTCATCCGCCCCTATTTTGCCCATAATAATTATCCCCAAACTTGTGAACTTAAACCCAGCAGGGAAGAAGAAGCTCTGTTCCGCCAGCTTTGTTTGGCGCTGAAAAGAATAATTTTGTCTCCTATCAATCCCCCAACACGTGCTCATAGTGCCAGCCAAACCTTAATCTCCCCTTAGAAAAGAAGTCACGATAATATCGTTTATAAAACATACCGCGTATTTTTGCGTACAAGATGTAAACGGTTGGCTCATTCGTTAGGGTTCGTCGAGTTATAAAGCTCGCGGAAAATTAAAACGAAAGAAAAAAGCTTCTGAAATCCCACGATAAACACACCGCTGACTAAGCGATTGTTTTAACTTATTTTCAAGGCAGTAGATGAAGAAAGGCCTCTCTGTCCGGGAATATCAGTCACGAATTAAGTCATCGACTAAATGTCCTAGTAAATATTAATTATGAGTTAGACCAAATTGCAAATGATTGCATTAGAGAGTGAGACAGATTTCATAATATTGTAAACAAAGTCCGATTGATTTACTGTAAGAGAGATGTTGTAATTGCACGCGTTTATTCTGCCTAATAAGTAAGGGGAAACGTGCTGCTGCGGGTATTAAGAATTAAATATAGACATATTACGATAGTTTGGCTCGGGATTTTACTGTACTCGTGATAGTAGGCAAAAATATTAGCTAGTACTAGTTACGCAAGGCGAATTATGAAGACCGTAGTAGATTGTAGTTTTAAGTCAGATAGTTAAAGATTGTTAGAACGAGAGAATTGAGAGCATTGTTAGAACGTCAACGACGTTCGTCGAAAATAAATCCTTTGGAAGAGAAGTTACAGTCCTGCGGAGTCCGTATAGTTTCCGTGACACCCTCTGTTATCCTTAAATGCATAACGCACTCGTCATCAGACAACTCAAGAGAATTCAGTGAAGGACGCTCGGGCTTCGGAATTTCAAGAACGAATCTACTAGCTTTGCTACAATTTAGCTCTTAGTTGTTAACTTAAATTAACAAAATTAAAACCAAATAAAACTGAGATATTCGCGCCGTTGACTTACAGTTGGGTCTAACATCAATTTATGATATCAATGTTATTGAGCCAGTTGTTGATCATCTGTTTCGCCGAGGCGGAATCTTTACTGCACTGAGAGACAAAGCTGTCAGTTTATTATAGATTTTAACGACACAGTTTTGCGTTCCATTCCAGAGGTCTTTGCGCAAAAGAGTCCATAGGACGACGACTTCAGCTCTTAGAAATTTGAGGGTTACTAATCGACATGACAGATGTCGTGACATGATCGCGTGACAGAGGAGTATTGATACTCGAGCAGTCCTTTCTTCTGCTTCTGATCAACCTCTTCTCTCCGGTGGAAATGAAATTGTCACGAGCCAGCAACCAGCAATCAGAAACGTGCGCTTCAATATTGTTTCTTAATTACTTTTCCCCATCTGCGTGATTGTTGTTGCATTCCGTCGTCACCAGATTCTGTCGACCAACTATACTGAGCCGGATTACACGTAACAGAGGAAGTATTACCAAAGATGGTCACAGGGGAACGGTTTTGAACTCTTATTTCGCGTCCTTCACTCAGTGGGGATCCAGAGTAATCAACTCTGAACTTCCGTTGTCGAAATGTAGGCATGGCATCGTGTTCCTTGTTCTTAGGAGTAGATGGTGGAAATGGCAGCTTTATCATAGGGATTAGTTGCTTTTGTTTAAGCTTTAATCCTCTTTTATTTCTGCACCTGTGTTTGGTCAGAATGTTCCATTTTTTTTTGCGCCAACCGCTTGACTAGTCTGTGATTCCAGATCTTCCACCACTTGAGGAAAATGACCTTCAGAGCAACGATTTTCTTTCACGATGGCTTCTTTTCCATATAAACGGTTCCGGGAATTTCTGGCCTTTCGCAAATCCAATTGTCAGAGCTGATAGAGAATCTCCATGGTCCTGCTGGTGTTCCCTTCACTTTGAGTGGACAACATAGATTCAACGGGGTTTTGGTCGTTTCATCACCGAGTTTGAAGTTGCCTGAAAATTGAGATAAGCGTGGGGTCCCTTTCTTCGACAGCCTACACAGCTTGCCCATTGTTTTGTCACTAAGCTTAATACAATACCTGAAGTCTTATGGTGGGATTCCAACTAATTCCTTAGTAATTGAAAGAAAAGTTGTTTCAAGTTAACCTGTCACGTGATCCAGTGCTTTGCATTGAGGTCAAGTTCGTTTGTGACGTTTTCGCATGAAGTTTCTTCTTCTCAGTAAACACCAGTTAAGAAGAATACATCACTTTTAATCTCAACCCTTTTTGTTTGCAAGTTATCCTGATCCGGAACATTGTTGTAATTGGCGATAGTGGGATCAAGAGAAACTGTTTCTTTCTAATCGTAGCTGTAAGTTGATAACAGTACCGTTCACGTGCTTGAGATTCGACTTTTCAGGTTTGGCGAAATTGTTCGATGAGTAATAGTCCTTTTTACAGTTGTGGGCTTGGTGAACAGGAGTGAGGCTAAGGGTGACCTTGTTAGGACAGAGATGTTGCTGCTTTTCAAATGCAAATTGCTTTGCTATCATGCTAACTAGATACAGGTCTCTATCACAACAGGGTCAACCTTAGCCTCACTCCTGTTTAAAGGCTTGGCCACCAAGCCCACAACTGTGAAAAGGACTATTCATTACGTTTCAAGGAAAGAACGTGATACAATACAAACAAATCAACCGACAATTGTTATAATTAGCATTCTATTAATTTGCACGCCATTTTCGCGTTTCAACGCCACTTCCACTTCCATTGTAATCTCGTAGAACGTTTCAGCTGATGAAATAACTCCATGTACAGGCACAGTGCCGAGACAAAAGACTAGCCGTCATTTTTCATGCAAGTTGTCACAGCGAATTCCAGGATGGTAACAATTCAAATCGGTTTCCAAAGCGTTGTTCCAGTTATTAGGTGCTTAACACTAGGTATGGAAAAGCCAAAAGCCTTTCCTCTTTCAGGAGTAGTGATCCATTTCACTCGGTCAAATCGGATTGGTTGTTTAGGATAACAAAATTTCACGCAGGCCTTTCAGATCTGATCAAACTCTTTGATAATTTGCTAACATCACGGAGGCATTCGAGTGACAATATGAAACTCTTCTACCAAATCAGCTTGTTAGGACGAGGTAGCATTAAAAGCTCATGATGGTTTATCCGGCCGGCCATGTTTGATTTAGAGTTAGAGCGGTCGGTGAGGGGAGTGGGGAAAGTCGAATTGATCAGCAACAGATTGAAGGCAAACACCCTCGCCGTGTGTAAATTTGGAACAAATTTAATTTCTCTTCTATTCAATCGTGACGAAAAAAAACAAATACTGAGTGCAAACATGACCATGCGCGGGTGTCAACCGGTGCACACCAAATGATGTGTTTGCGTCACAAAGGTTTTACAAACGGACGTAAGGGTTCAGAGATGCCTAAAGAAAGCACTTATGCTATTGCTTCTGAGCTCTCTTCAGTAAAGAAAACCCAGCGACGTCACGATAACAACTGTAGGTGCTATAATAAAAAACTGAATAATCATTTCATGCTTTTGCAACGTGACGCTCATCAACCTAACCAGCCTTTTGGACACTTGCCGACAATTTTCTATTCTTTTTTTTTTATCTTATTAATTTTTCGTTTTTGCTTGCTTTTTTTTTAACTTATCGAATTATATTCTATTTTTTTAACACGTCTATTTCTAAAATCACTGCTTTTCTTAATAAAAAGGTATGATTTCGAACTGACCAACTTTGGGGTTTACATAAATATTATAACTTACAATATTGATTCCTTAGCTAGATACTGATTGAATGTAACGAAAGATTATGAAGAGCTAAAGAGGAGAGGAAAAAGGAGTATTGTACGGGAGACTCATGGGTCAAACCTTGTGAAGAAATGTCTAAATAAGGGCTTCCCGCAATTTTTATTATAGCACAACCAAAGTAAAGCGCGCGCTCTGATTGGTCAATTCAGCGTACCTCATTTGCCCATAGGTGTACGCTGCTGACGTGAGCAAATGCCAAGACAATTTTTCCGCGCGCGCTTATATTTTCTGGTCACGTAAGATTTGTTAAATAAAAGGGAACTCTTTAGCTACAATGTATCAATGTTATGTTATAAAACAAATGGTAAACACCACAGCTTACACTATTGAGTTATGGATGCACTTGGGAGGTTTGCTAAGCACTCAAGAAGCTAGAGCCGCTCTCGGCTATCGCCTCGAGCGACTCTTACGCTTCCTTCGTGCTTAGCAATCTCCCGCATGCATCCATAACTCAATAGTGTACGCTGTGGTGTTTACCATTTATTACATGGATTACTTTTCTTTTAACAGAGATATTGTGCAGAGAAAAACGCGGCAAAGTGGTCACCTCCGTTTTTCCTCTATCAAATTAGAATGTACGAAAAAAGCTTTCTATTATCATGGATGTAAAGTTTTTAATCGTAATTTCTAGCTTTTATCAATGGTTGTAATAATTTTAAGGCTGTTTTAGGATATCTTTCTATTCGCTTAGCTGGACTAGTTTTATGTATTTTTAACTTTTTTTATATTTCTTTTTATTAGGGCCTCTAAGGATATCAGTTTTTGTAACTGTAGGAGTTACCCTAACCAAACAAAAGTATCTTCTTCTTCTTCTTCTTCTTCTTCTTGTATATGCATTCACTTTTAACTTTGCTTATCTTAAGAAACCTATTACTTGGGGAAGTCTTTTTTTAGGTTCAAGATGGCTTTTATAGTAAAGGCTCAAGTTCTACGCAAAAGTAGCTTTTAAGGATCAATGTTTAAGAAACACTTTTTCCAAGTGGCTTTGGTCCTTTGTTTCAGACGTTAGCAAGATTTTAGAAAGCATGGCTTTCGTTCTGGGTAGAAAACCGTACAAAATAAAAGCCAAATGCAAAGAGACTTATCGTCGTCGAGATGAAAAGACAAAATTTAGAAAGAAATTGAAATCAAAAGATATAATGAACAAAACATTTCGCTCCTAATGAGTTCTTCTTTTATTTAAATGTTTGACTAAAAGGACTCAGTCTAGTTCTTTGCTTAACAAATTATGGAGATGGCCTTGCTATCTATCAGCTTATTTCCTTTAGTGACGCCATCAAATCTCATCTGCTTCCAGATCTTGTCGCCTCCAATTTTCTTCTTTGTCGCAGCCCAGCGCTCTGGCTGTCTGACAGATGCTCTTCTTGTCACGAACCACCTACATAAAGGCATAGCCTCACTATTAAACAAACTAATTGCAGTGGCGCTGTCACAAAGTGAAAAACAAAAAAAACAAAAAACAAAGCGACGCGAATCAATTTAAAAGATTAGAGTCAAATGCCGTTCCTAAATTGTTTCAATTCAACTTAAATTACTGAAACTTTTAGATCGGCTGAGATGATAAGAAATTTCAAATGCTAATCAAATACTAGTTCGTAATATTTTGTCATGCTTTTTTTATGTATTTTTCTAGAAAAGCAGCATTGCGCTTGGGTGAAAGAAGATGATTAAAAATCCATTTAATTAAAATAGATCAAACTCATAATTACTCCAAAAGGACTTCCAGCATAAAAAAAAAAAATTCTAAAGGCGAGTGTGTAAAAAAGTGTCTTTTACCATTTTTTTTTTAAAAACCTATCAATACAACGCCAGTTTTATAATCTCAGAGGGAATTTAAATCGTTAAGCACATATTTCCTTCATTTCTTTTTCTCTTTGACCAGGACAGATATCGACATCTCTCCAATCTCAGACTTTGGTACGGTTTACCAATCTTTACAAAATGATAATGTCTCAACTAAAGTTTCCATTTCATCGTCTTCTTCAAAAGATTTTTTCCCGTCATAATACAGAAAATAAACGGCATCACAAAATTATTGAAACAATACCAAGTTTTGTTTTGAAAAAGCTCAGCCCGTAGTAACTATAACTGAGAATTTTTTCACAAGAAAACATACGCATTTTAATACCTGATATGTATCTGGTTAGGAAACTTGACTCGCGTCCTTAAACTTCTTTTTATTTTCATTCAAGTAAAATATGGTGCTTTATTTACCTGTGATCTCTTTCCTTTATAGGGCCATGGAGCAGCAGCTTCAGTATCTCGAGGGCAAGTCAACAGCAATACAGAAACAGCGATGAAGACGCCAACCAAAAGGGTTGATAGTTTGTACATCGCCGCGATCAATGAACGAAAGAATGGTCTGAAATCGGTTGACCCGTGAGGTGGTGCTTTAATAAATGGAATATAACATGACCCACTACACACTTTATAGCCATAGCTTTTAAATTAATATAACCGCCTGATGGTCTGCCCATCTTCTCTTTAATTGAGTGACGTGACAGGTATTTCTTTCTGATGCAAAACCATCTTCAATTTTTTAACGATTGTTTAAGTAGCATGTTCCGCAGGTTAATGCGTTTTACTAAATAATTCATAGCGAATTTTCTATATTCATCCCTGAACTTTAAAAATAACACCAATGGCTAACAATGAGGGTTATACGTATGTGTTTCAGAGTGACAGCGAGGTTTTCCAAACGACAAAAATAGCGAAAAAGGTCGCTGTGCCTTTGCAACTGAAAGCAGTCAACGCTATTACTAACAAAACATATAATTATATAGGCCCGCTCTTTAAATTACTAGTTATCTGTGTCAATATAAAGCACAAGAAAACCCAAGGGCCATTAATATTGAGAATAGAATTGGTTGTGCAAAGTAAAAGACTTTTTAAACATTCATTGTATGAGGACGAGTTCCGTTATGGTGCAGATAGCCATAAGTATGAGCAGTTTTCTTATTTGATTATATTATTATCAGTGCCAGTACTCTGGTAACAAAATCCTCTCTGTACAAAGTTCTTCATTGCCTTTGACAGCGCTCATAGAAATATGAACCACCTAGATCGAGAAGGGACACAAGACACGTTTTCGTTCGATCCATGGATCGGTGGTTAATTTCAGTCAAATATGAAACAAAAAGTAAAACGTGACACCAGTGTACGAGTTCCCAACAGGTGTAACCACAGTTTGAACAAAGAGAGACTACTTTTGTGCGCATTACTTTTTTTTCTTCTTTTTTTATTTGCGAAGAACAAAATCGGCACTTTTCAGGACTCAGCGGCGAAATTGTTTAACACTTTGATGGCTTAAGGCTAGAGCCTGATTATAACAATTTCGTCAGGTTAGCGATCGAAGAAGCTCATGTTCTCCGACGGAGTAAGCATATAACTGATTATCATTATTGTTTCTAACCATGCCGTTTTTTTTTTTTGTTTGTTTATTTTCGGTTTGATTTTTCTTTCTAATAATATACTGTAGCGAGGTCATTAGTAGGCGAAGAGCCACCTTGTGGAAGTACTACTAGTAAAGTCGTTATTATTATTATTATTATTATTATTATTATTATTATTATAATTATTATCATAACAAGAGGAAAAATAACAAAAATAGAGTCTCGCAATAATTTTCCTCGGTGCCAAGGTGTGGCTTTGTTGCTCAGTTGGTAGAAGCGCCCGACTAGTATCTAGGAGACCCAGATCTTATCGAAGCTTCAATTTCTTTTTCATGCTTCTTTTCTGTGAATGCTAAAATTTGCGCTCACCTGCTACAATGGATTGTATCAAGAAAAAGGACCCTTGCCTCCGGTGAGAAAGGGCTTCGTGAACTTTTCTTCTCCTTGTTAGATTGAGTTGATTGCTTGGATGGCAAAAGACATTTGTCGTCGTCACAGTTTTTTTTTTTTTTTTTTTTTTTGAATAAATAAACTCTTATTTGAGCTGCCTTCATAGAAAACTATACTATAGTTTTAGAGATAATATATCACTAATTCCGAAAAAGGGGTGATGGTTTTTTTACATTAATGTGAAAAGCAATAATGATAAAGTGCATCTGTGATAATGTGCTTCAAAGGGGTTTTTTTTCTTGAATTTAATCCAAACGGCATATGGTATTTCGAGGACTGGACTGGACTGGACTGGACTGGACTGGACTGGACTGGACTGGACTAGTAAAACGCGGACTAGTAAAGCGCGGATTAGTAAAACACGGACTAATAAAATGCAGAACTAGCTACTCAAATTAACGATTTCTTCACTAGTATAACCCAAGAGTTCGAACCTTTGATGCCAATCCAAACTCCGCCCAACGTAATTCCACCAGAAATGCTTGTTTCCTTACAGGAAGTTTCATCTGACTTGCGCAAATTGTCCATACATAAAGCGGTGGGACCAGATGGAATATCGAATAAATTGTTGAAGCAATTTGCACCCGAATTAGCACCATAGATTCAAGATATATACAATCAATCACTGAGAGAAGGTCTCGTACCTGACACTTTAAAACAGTCAATTATCTCACCAGTCCCTAAGGTTTGCCCTCCTCAAAACATTCAATCAGACTTGAGACCAATTGCACTTACAAGCTGTTTAGCAAAAGTACAAGAGGGTTTTACAAACAAAAGACTGTTAGATCAGGTGTTTGATTCTATCGACCCACGTCAATATGCAGGTCATGGACACTCTACAGTGCACGCACTAATTTATTTAATGCATGCTATTCACGAAGCTATTGATTCAGGTAACTGCTCTGTTCGGATATTTTTTACTGATTTTACTAAAGGTTTCGATATCATAGACCACTCAATATTATTAGATGAACTCAGATCGTTCAACATCGATCAAACTCTGTTTTTTTGGATTCGTTCCTTTCTTACCAACCGGACACAGGCTGTACGTGGTGGCTCCTCCCTGTCACCGTGAAAGCAAGTCAATGGTGGCGTCCCACAGGGAACAAAACTCGGATTAACGCTCTTTACTGTTATGATAAACAAGCTACTGAGTAATTGGCATATGCGTACGAAGTATTTTAATGACATTACTGCATTTGAAATCATTCCAAGCAACTCCGTTAGTATGCTAGATGTAGTTGTCAGAGAAATCCATGATTATTGCATAGAACATGGGATGAAACTAAATCCCAAAAAATGTAAAGAAATGTTCGTAAATTTCATGAAGAATTCGATTACTGCAATGCGACCTATAACTGCTGGAAATCAAGAAGTGGAGCGGGTAGGAACTTATGAGCTTTTAGGAGTTATAATTAGAGATGACCTTAAATGGAACACTCACGTTGAATATGTGACTGCCAAGGCAGCTAAGAAATTATTCGCTCTAAGGTTGTTGAAACGCGCAGAAGTTATGCCAGAGGACATGCTTAAGGTATATACTTGTAATATCAGAGCTGTCCTAGAGTATGCTGCAGAAGTGTGGCAAGACATTCCCGCAGACCTCTCTGATGCGATTGAATCCATACAAAAAAAAAGCCTTAAAAATTATATTCCCAAAGTTTAGTTATCAACAAGCCCTAGACCAGGCAAAATTGTCATTGTTGGTGAGGTCGTAAGATATTCGTTTGTAAAAAGTTGATGGCGGAAATAAGGAATGAAGACCACCCCATATCTTTCTTAGCTCCACAAGCTATGACAAGTTCTATACCTTATCAGTAAAGATCAGGAAATACCAATGCCACAACAACAATGAAAAGAACAAAAAGAGCAAATGACTTTTTTACTTTTAGGTATTCGTAGACTTAACTATTATTATAATACTTACTACAATTATTCTAATTCTTAAGACTTATTATTGCAAATAGACTTTATTATTGGTATCTAGTAAGATTCTTTTTAATATCCTTGTAAAATTACAGTTTTTATTCAGCTTTTTAACTGCCAGAAGTGTTAATAAACTACCATCATCATCATCATCGACTAGTAAAACGCGGACTAGTAAAACGCGGACTAGTAAAACGCGGACTAGTAAAACGTGGACTAGTAAAACGCGGACAAGTAAAACGCGGACTTAACAACAACAAAACCATAAAAAAAGATTTCATACGAAGGCGATCACAAGACTTAATGGCGAGCCAATTTAGTGAGTGACAATCCCTGTTTGACCTTTAAGCTACAAATGGGTTTGACATGCGCCAGATACAAACGAATTTATAAGTTTAGGCTAAGAAAGAATTTTATTCAGCACCAGTTCAAAATCCTAAAATACACTTTCGTCGTAAATTTCACGGCAGAAACGCAGGAATTTGATGAATAAAAGTCGCATTAAATCTCCTTGTGTCTAGGTAGAAAGAGTCTCATTTACTTCAGCTTTTCGGTGGAAGAAAAATCGATTTACACACGCCATGACAGAAAACTCACAAACAAGCAAACTGACGACTCCAAAACACATATTTGCATTCACTTACAATTTGACTTTCCATGACATTTTAAAATGGGACAGAGGTAAATCTTCGAAGATTAATCGTCGTTGGAAATAAAAAATACTTTCCGTAAGATCTCTAACTTTCTCTTTACGAGAAAATCGTCGCATGATCATTTAACTCGTGTGTGTTTGTCATACCAGTACTGCTGTTTCTTCTAAAGCGTATGCTTCTTTCCTCTTTAATTGACAGGTGTCATATCGTGACAGTCTGTCACGATATGACAAGTCTGTCGAAGGGTGTGCAGATACGTACTAACATAAACGATGATAGGCCAATAAATTCATGGCAACTCTGTTTCTTTTACTTTCACAAGAGGGGAAAAACACAATCTGTAACTTTATTTCTTGGAAGGAAACTCTAAAACGAAGTTAGAAAGAGTTTGTCCTGTCAACAGTTTCGATTCTTTACAGTCTGAAAAGCTAAATCTATCTTTTAATTTCATTGTAATGAATATTTCCTTCTCTATGCATTGTCAAGTTCACTCGACCGAGCATCCATGTCACATGACATGTGTTGAAGTCCTTAATGTAATAACTTTCCTAAATGTAATAAAGTCCTAAATGTAATAACATTTTGTTCTAAATGTAATTGTCCTAAATGTAATAACATTTGGTCCTAAATGTAATAGGCTTCCAATGCAATGATTTAGCTGTGCTTGTGCATCCACATTGAGATGTTCAGTGAAGCGACAACTGTTGCACCAGAGAATCCTCTGACGAAAATTCATGGCTTATTGCAGGCTCGCTCGCTGATTTCAATCAGGGTTTTTTTTTTTTCGCTTGAGATGTAGGCCGAAAAGTACTGACTACAAACCATACCGATGTGCTTTCTTTGGCATCAAATTGACAGATCTCAAAACAATTGAACGCTGACCAACCCGGCCATCTTGACCGAACAGGCTTGGTCAAGAGATTTTACATTTTTGGCAAGTACTTTTTCACGGAAATTAATGCGTTTTCTTTTCAGTAATCACGGATAACG